TTTTGTGTGAAATTAACCGCCGCTTTTACATTCCTTCAACGTTCCGCTCTGTTATTTGACTTTGTAGGAAGAAGAAGACGAGCTTGTTCGAGCGCTCGCATTAGATCGAAAAAAACTTCCGAAGATGTTGCGAAACGAGGCAAAGACACGTAGCGTCATGTTTAAAGAAAGTCTTCGTATTAGCATGCAGGTTTGATTGTGTTGAATTGAGTTATCTTCTTAGATAATTGACTTTTCAGTCTATGACTCCAGCGGAAATGGCTGAAAAGCTAAGACGGTTTGACGAGCACGAGAATATGCGAATTAGAAATGCTCTGGAGGAGCATGATTTAAAAAGCGCGAAAAAGATAGCTCAACTGAAGGAGAAACACCAGCAAGCCGTTAGTACTTTGTCTCTTCTGCTCAACAGACTTTAGCTTGTCTTTACTCTTGTTTAATGATGTCAGCTTCAAAACTGCAGATGAATGAGCTCGATGAGATGCAAAATGAAAAGAGGAAGCAGTTGCTAGAAAAGGAGCGTAATACCATGCAAGAACATGAGAAGCAATACTTCAGCATGAGAGAACAGTGGCAGGCTGACTTGGCTCCTAGAAAACTGGTAAATTTTTGCTTATCATAGCTATGTAGAACCGCTTGACAAGTTCCGTTCTAGTTGCTAGAAAGAAGGTTTCAAGAGGAAATGGAGGCTCAGGAAAGATTTTATGGTATTCCTCTCAGCGGTACGATAGCCTCAACTCCTGTACTTCAAGCTCGTGTCCACTGATTCTCATAAGAAAATCCTCGCTTAGTTTGATTACCTTTTACGAAAACTCCATTTAAGAGTGATTGTTTTCTCCTCAGGTGTCATCAGCTTTGAATTTCTTAATTCTATTAGCTGGCTGTTACAACTTCTATCAAAAGTTATGTCGTTCATATTCCTTAGATGCTACATATGATTCTAGCAATCTGTAATACTGGTGCTGTCGAACGCTCCGGTTTCCTGTAACTTCACTTGTCGTTTCATTATATGGAATGATTTTTCCTTATATACAGACTTTTCTAAAGCTATCTATTATGATTAAATTGCCTTGCATATACGCCTTACTAGCCATCCATTACTGTCAATCGCTGAATACGAGTTGTCCTGTTGGCCTTGACTTCACTATATCAAGCATCAGTTTTGGTGTTTTCATCAGTTAGTCTTGCTTTGTTTTATGAAGAGAGAA